GGGCAATGGCGATGAAGTCAGTGAGAAGCTCGAGTCCGAGCCACCCACTGCCATTCCCAGCAGTGGTGCTGATGCCATGATGAGGGATGCTGCTGCTGAGGCTGGGACGTCAGGATTTGAACAAGAGCTTTCCACTTTGGTTGCAGAGGCTCTTGCCGTTCGGAGTGAGTCCGAGATTTCACCTCGTGAAGAGGATGCCGCCGTGCCCAGAACCCCTGCCGACGGAGACGACCCAGCGACAAGATCCTCAAAGGCTGAGTCTGATCAAGCATGGGCTGTGGCTGAGAAGACAGAATTGCAGAAGTCCACCGTCCCTCAGCTGAAAGCCATGTTGGCGAAATTGGGCGATGCTGAGATTGTGAAACGATGCCGAGCCTACAAGAAGGAATTTATCATCGATGAGATCGTCTCGTTGAAAAGAGATGTCAGGTCTTGCAAGCGAATGACGGCATTCTTGCAGACTTCTTCTGATGCCTCTGAGCCTTCTGAGAAAAGCCCAAAGCGGCCAAAGTTGGCACCATAACTGACTTGACCAGTTGGGTGGTAGTGAATTTTGTTGACATGATGGATGGGTCACAGGGAATTGGCCCTTGAAGTGTCTGGGGACTGGGGACTTTGCGTTTCACTGCTGACGGTGAGACCGGGCGAGAAAATTTTCATGCGCAGGCGCAGGCTCAGACTTGGCTGGTTTGAGTCACCACCAGCTGTGTTTAAGTTTGGTTGTTGCCGGTTCAGCCATTCAAGGGGTACACAGTACACACTGACATACACACACACACACTTATCTGTATATGTATATGATACGATACTGTATAATACTGTATAAAGTATAAATATCCGTAAAAAACTTTAATGCAACAGTCAACTTTCTTGTCCATCATCAGCATTCAACACTCATTGTGCGAACCCTTGTGACTTTCTGGTGTGTGTAGTGTGTGTGTGTGTAGATCTCCTGACATAAGGTGCAAGTTACATTGTCATTCGATCCTCCCTTCAACCGCTTCGAATTGACATTCCCACTGTTGAAAACAAAGTTAGCGTCATTAAAAAAGTTATTCCCCTGCGTACCCGTAGGTTCGCGAAACAAACCATTCATGGAAGACGGAAAACACTTCTTGCAAACTAGGCTCTGGCTCTTCTTCAGTTGGGAAGTTCCTTTGTATCTCAAAACTCCGTTGGAATCCCTGTATTTAACAGCTGTAGCTGGACCCTGAGTGGATGCCTTCCTTTTTGTCATAGGGCCTTGGTTCATGAGACAGATGAAGTACGAAGGCGCCCACAGTTTCGTAGCCTTCTCATTCTCGTGGCCAAAATGCCGCATGAGGAAGACGGTCCGGTACATCTAGGTGGATGATAGTGTGGCTGGTGGAAAAATAGACCCTGACCAAACTCGCGGGTTGAAGGGGTAACGCAAAAATGAATTCTGACATTCAAGCTAGGAATAGACACTTATGGGCCCAACAAGGGCACTGTACACAAGTGTGGAAAAGAAACCAATAGGTTTCAACTGTAGCGGGGCTGTATCTTTTGGTCATTGTTTTGGAGAACCCTTTTGAACAAGCTTCCAAGATGTTCGCTCGCTTTAGCGTGCGGAGTAGCCAAATCATCCGGTCGTGAAGCATCATCAGGGACGATTTGGGTTGCTCCAAGACCGGGGTCCCACCCATTGATATAATGGCCAAAGAGATCAGTGCATACCTAGCAGGGAACCTTGCAGCAATTTAACCCAACCATCACTGTTGTTTCCTCAAACCTCCTGGCCTTGCTACCATCAAATTGGACGCTTTGACACTTTGATGAGCTGTATTGCCCATTGGCAACAGCCAGTCGCGAGCACTTGTTCCGGCGTTTATGCTCACCCAAGTGCTGCATAACACCCCACTGAGCGCCAAAAGGTCACCAAAGCTGGAGTTGATTAAGGTGTACAGGATGAGCCTTAGGTCGTTGCCATTTGCCATTTTCATGCTGAAGTCATTACAAAAGGAACGCTAAACCCTCGAAGGTGCTCAAAAGAATAGTTTGACCTACATAACAAGCCACGTGAAGCCTCCAGATTGGTTAATGTCCATGGAAGACCGGCCCTGAGACGTTGCTGCGTTGTCATAGGTAATGTCATGGGCTGCCACACCATAGCCCAACCCTTTAGCAAGCCGTGACAACCTCCGTTTCCCAGCAAAAAGCTCCAGCACCTGCACTTCTTGCCCGAGAGGAGGAAGCGACAGCCAACTGGCCGCGAGAAGCAGCAAAAGAAATGCCTTGCGGCACATGGAATGGAGGGAAATGGGTCAACAGAACCGTTCATCCATCAAGACACTCTGGGCCCTTTGTTTTACCTGGTGAAAACATTTGGCATTTTTCAATCAGCCGGCTTCAGCTTGGATACCTTCGGGGCTTTGAACATCGCAAGCCGTCTCATGGCCAGCTCTAACTGAGAAGGGGTCATGGCAAATGGGGCCAGCTGGCCACAACGCAACTAGGTCTTGATGCCTTGAAGCTGCACTGGTGTGAGCTAGTGGTGTCAGCAAATGGTAAAGGTGCTTTGCAAAAAAGAAACCAGTTGAAGACATGTGAGTAGCTACAGTTAGCAGAGCAAACTGAGCCAGTGTGTCCAAGCGGGTCATCCCACTTTTTGAGGTAAGATTTAAGCACCTTTGGCGGCGGCATCTTTGCGGAAAGTACCTGCCAGAATTCACAAATAGCGGTGGGAAGTTCAATCATGTTCGGCAGCAAGGTGCCCCAAAGAAGGTTTTTGAAAGGCTTGGAGAGCAACTTGGGGCATCAGCCAACACACCAGCTTGGTCAGTGCTAGTTCGGCCTCAGGATTAGATGATTAGCCCATACTCCCAGAATATGTTTACCAAACATCGCAAAAAGCAGCGCCATTTGCCGCACACACACACGCACAAAAAATGGTCCCTACACCAAAGGCTATCCCTGCTGAAAACCTTGGAAAGCTGGATGGGAGCAAGCGCAGGTATTGCAGCTTTCCCCGTGCGATAGGCGAATGCCTACCAACCCACAAGCTACGGCAATTAACTTGCAAGTGCTTATCCATACACAGCTAACGCTTCCATGGGTGACCAATCTTGACGCCATCTTGTCGCACTGGAATCAAATCGGATCAGGTGATCTTGCCTCGGACACAAAGAACTGCACCGCAACGGCTTTTCGAAGGTGTCCGCAGGGACCCGTTTTTTAATCCAAAAACAGGTTCCCGCGGACACCTTGTTAAAATCCAGGAAGCGAACATACCATGCAATGACAAATGCTTTTCCGAGTTGCTCTTGACGTCTTCTTGCTCCAAAAACTTCTTGCCAAGATCCCGCGCGGCAGAAGGATAGCTCTCCAACGTCCCATCTGAAGCCTCATGCCAATGAACCTGACAGTACTTCCAGAAGATGTCCTGCACAAACAAACGCCCTCCAAAACAAATCTGCACAAGGAACTCTCGGGAACAAGAAAACAAGGACAATGAATCTGTGGGTTGATGAACAAGTGAGCATTCACCCCAGTCAGTCCTCAAGACGGCTTGGGGAGCGAACCACTGGCTGGACAATCTCTTCAAAAGCCATCCTAAGGGATTGCCAAAAAGTTGCCATTGGCTCCTTTCCGGACTGAACACGTCTAGCAAAAGTGGCTTTCACACTCTTGCTGTTCTTGGCAGTGGCCTTGGCCTTTGGCCTCGGAGCCTTCATTGTCCTTTTGGGCTTGGCCTTCATCGCCCTTTTGGGCTTGGCCTTCATCGCCCTTTTGGGCTTGGCTTTCATCGCTTTCTTGGGCTTCGAAGGCTTTGCCTTCGGACCCCTTCCCCTCTTGACCGGCCGCTCTGTGACCTCACTACTCCCGTTGACCTCGGCAGCCTTGGCCTCGCTACAAGCTGCAGGACGCTTGAAGCGGGCACGCTGTGATTGCCTCAGATCCAGCTGGTCCAAGCGAGAGATGCCAGTGTCCTGCGAGAACAATTGAAACTTGGAACGTTTTGCATCACAAATCGTCAACACATCAAAGAACGTCGTGCTCGTTGAACATTTCAATAACGCCCCCTGAGTCCTTGTGGTCGCCGGCCATCTCACGCAGGGTAGGGCTTGCAGCCTTGGTCCTGATCTGCTGCTCTGGCGTTTGGGCTGGCCCTGAGAGACCATTCCCTTCGTTTTTGCCACTGTCTTGGCGCGCTTCAAAGCAGTGAGCAATGCCCGCAGTGGCCACTCCAATTTGGAAAAATTCAACCTTCTCAGTCTCGCAAGGTTCACAAGCGTTCTTCTCTACAGGCTCCACGTTCTGCAGAGCACTCCTGACCTCCAAGGCGGGAATCTGCGAGAGGCCTGCATCGCTTGACAGAAACGCTGCCATTTGAGTTGCAGCATAGGGCACGGTTTCGCTGGCTGCAGTCACAGCTTGGCCTCGGTCACGCACACACAAGCACACAAACTCTATGCCCGTACGCCAATCAGAAAATCAAAGCTTTGCAAAACAACATTTTCCTAATTTGTCTAAGGTGCTTCCCCAGTTCGCTTGGACAGAATTGGCTGCGATGGCAATTCGCCGCTCTGCCATTTGGTGCCTTTGCAACGGAAGCATAGAAACAAAAAACCATCAAGTTTCCAAACCATGAAGAAAGCATGCAGACCTGATTGCCATCTAGATACTCGAGCTGTTTTATTCGATCTTCCAGATCCATCTCCGACATGTCCTGGTGCGTTGCCTCCTCTGGACTCTGCCAGATAGTTCCCAGACTTGCAGTTTTCCTCATGGCACCGCCAAGGGTCCAGGCCAAATGTTCATCGTTGAGCGCGGGCTTGGAGTCAGGAGTTCGCGTCCCCTCATCAAGCAACTCCTCCAGGCCATCCTCAACAGGAGCTGGGTAGGGGTCACGTGGCGTCACCTCACATTCCTCGCCCGCAGGCTCATCATCCGCAGTCTCATTCGTCTCATCCAAAGACTTCCTGGACTTGGGCTTGGGGGCCCAGTACTGGGAAACTTGGTCGAAGATCCGGCGGAGAACCAAGTCCTGAGACTTGATGCCACGACATATGAGACAAGAGGAGCTCTCAAGCATTCTGTGCCCCAAACATCCCCCCCAAAAAAGATCAACAAACATGTCAATTTCTTTAGTTGAGCCACCCGGTGACGGACGGTGTAATGCCGCCGCACAATCAGGGACATAAAGGCCTTCAGGGCACCTGCCTCACAGTGCACTAGGGCCGGTCGCGTTGAAAGGTTCAGATCTGCTCGAAACTGCCGGACCTGCCGCGAGAGTGCAAGACTCATCACAAAATCACTGCAAGATCTTTTCCCAAGAACACGACAGCCCAAACAATTAATTTACGGGCCTTGGACCTTGGATACCTCTGGGTCCGCAATTATCTGTCCACTAGTGACCAAACACGAATCCAATCCCCACCTCAAATTTCAGATCATCGATGTTCATGGTTTTGGGGACGCCGTCAGTTTTGGGGCACCAATAGTGCACACAAACCTCAATGACCTTGGCATTCAGAACCAAGGACTCAAAATTTATGTGGCCGCTCTTCTTCGGATCCTGCCACTGCAGCAGGGACTTGCGTTGCATAGAGCCTTTGCGAATGGCAGACGATTGCAACCACAGAGCGGCGAGTCCACTCACATCCTCTTCATCTGGGCTGGCCATAGCGCTGCCGCTGCGCAAACACTTGGCAAAACTCGGGCAAAAAACCCTTAGGGACCACGAGAAACAAAACAACCAAGTTGGATTGACCGATCTGCCAATGCAAGCCGGTGATCAACCAACAAACGGCGAATCGATGAGGGCACGCATCCTGAATCAAAGCACCACTTGCCCTTCGAAGCCGCGCCTGGCAAAGCATTAAAGTATGCAGTGAATGAGGCTCGGAACTTTGGGTGAAATGTGTTGTGACCTTTTTGTGAAGTCAGAGTGAGCACTCCCACACATCACCTCATGATGAGAAGCACCCTCACAAAATCAAACTACCTCATACATACTGGTTTCAAGTTCGGTGTGCCTCATAGGGCCATAGGGCCACTCCCGGAGAGCGAAAGGAAGCGACATCTAAAGACCTGCGCGGCGGAATGACGATAGTGGAAAGGAGGTTGGGTCAAAGCAGCCGGTGTGCAACACAGTCGTCAGCTCGCAATGCACAGGTAACTTTGTGCTCCGTCTTTCACAAGACATCAAATCTCAGGTGCAAAATTGACTGTTGCCAGTCAGGCCCTCTCACTTTGACTCTTGACTTTGGTCTGGTGGGGCTCCAAAAGAAGAAGGCAGGCCATCGTGATAGTAAACAGTCTCGCTCGGACCATCAACAGTTGTGTGACCTCGCCGCGCCACAGCCGTGAACCTCTCTATGTCCTTTGGTGTTCCACCTTTTGCCTTTGCTGCCAAAAAAAAGGTTTAGTCCAAGCAACAATCTTTCTGCCAGCCCCTCAGATACACGGCCAAGTTGAACACGTACCCTTTCTCCTGGTAGTTGGCAATCAGGTCGCTCACGCGTTCATACTCAAGTGATTCAATGTCCTGGGCGCAGGACAATAGTAACTTTTGCCTCAAAGCACCGGTGGCCCATGCCAAAACCAAAATTTCAATTAAGATCAATTAAGTGTCTTTAGGCACATCTTCTGGCCAAAGAACGGCTTGGGCTTCTATCCAGAACTGTGGCGGGAGGTCCGCCACTCCTGTCATGAAAAGATATGAAAAGTGTACTGTATGTTTGACTTGGGCTTCCAAAAAAAGAAAAGGTGGTGCCCGGGCCTGCAGCCTCCATGGCCTCCCCCAATTTTCCAGTCTTGTCCAAGGGCATTTTTCTCTACGTCAACGAGATTGGGCCGCTAACAGCTTCAGACTCTGAAATGGAACAAGGGAACATGAAAGCACCACTCGACAAGCAAACGCCACAGCAGTGGCACCACCTGACAAACAAACGCCACAGCAGTGGCAAATGCAGGGGAGCGCACCTCAAAGCGCCGAGCGCGACGCTAGGGCTAGGGCCATCTAAGGCCATCCCCCGTTGAGCCAGTAGCTCTAACTGGATCTCATCTAGGTGTCCACCGGGTGGACGTCTTCACCAGTGCTGCACTTGAGAATCGGTGGGAGAACTTCTCCATTTCCAACAAATCTTCGGCTTCAAACGCTGCCCAAAAACATGTGTTTCACTTTTCCAGAAAAGGTTACCTTTTACCGGCATAAATGGGAGACAAACTCAAGGATTCCAATTTACGCCGCCAGCTTTCAATTTACGCCGCCAGCTTTCAACTTACGCCGCTGTACGGCAAAAGGCGCCTTTTCTGGAAAAGTGCCGCTAACGAAGATCTAGGTATAAGTCAGGAAATTCATTGGGTGAAACGTGTGATTCCAGCACCATAATCCAAAGCGTGCAGGAAACGCAAATTCATTAGGGTGGCAATCCGGAATGGTCTCAGCGCCCCCTTGCGGGGGATCACACTGTGCACCCAAGTTCGAGGGCACAGCGGCACACACTTAGATAATGGGTTTGCAGTTACATCTATTCCCCGAGGAAAAGAGTGGCTCAACGGAAAGGTGAAGCGTCCAAATACTTGAAGGTGTTTCAACAAATGGTTTGTGCACATCTGCAGCTCACGAAACGGCGGTTTAAACAGTTGTTAAAAATGCAGGTACGTTTACAAGGGTCCTAGAGGAGGTCTTCGTTGGCCACCGCTCCTCTGGGACCCCGGTGGCCCCCCTGCTTGCAGAAAACTCTTAGAAACAGAGGGTAGCACACACATACAAGCAGCCGCATAGCGGCGCGCCAAAGTTCATTGCGGTAGTTCCAATGATGAAACAACGCAGTGGACAGCTTGTGCTTGACCTAGGTTGTAAACGGACGAATATATTAGCGCTTGATTGCCGTAGCTCTTTACTGATGAAACAACGCAGTGGACAGCACTGGCCTTACTTAGGTTCTGGAGGGTGGCTGACAAATGCATTAACACTTCATTGCAGGAGCTCTTTAAAGATTAAACAACGCAGTAGACAGGTTTGGATTTAAGGTTGCTCAAATGCATTAGCACTTTAAAGAGGAAACAACGCGGTAGACAGCTTTGGCACGACTTAGGTTCCAAAGGTGCATTAGCACTTTTATAACTGGATGAACCAACTCAACACAACCAGGCGCATTGCGGTGTGCCAAAGTTCCTTGCGGTGGCTCTAATGATAAAACAACGCAGTGTATAGCTTGGGCCTTACCTAGGTTTTTTACCGGTGGTTGACGAATACATGAGCACTTCACTGATGAAACAACGCAGTGGACAGCTTGGCCTTACTTAGGTTTTAGAAGGTGGCTGACAAAAGCATTAACACTATATTGCAGGAGCTGTTTGAAGATGAAACAACGCAGTAGACAGCTTTGGCTTTACTTCGGTTTTAGAGTTTGCTCACAAAGGCATTAGCACTTTATTGCTGGAGGAAACAACGGAAACAACGCAGTAGACAGCATTTGCACTACTTAGGTTTCAATAGGTTGCTTTTATTCTGCACAGTATGAGCGCTGGTTTTGCAATCGTTCTGTGCGGGTAATGGGTCGAGTAAACGAGCCTCAAAAGCGACCTAACAAGCCTGAGGAAAAAACAACAAACAAAAGAAAACATAAGAAAGAAAGAGTGGGGGGGGGTTGGTGTGATCGACGCTCGATCGTAAGGCCGATTCCGGCGCCCTTGGACGAAAAAACCCTGGCAACGAACGGAAATCGAGGCATGCAGTGAACTACTCAAGAGTGCGTAAGGAGAAATCAGTGGTAAGTCCCCGTAGACTCGGCAGTATTTAGTCAGCTGATCCTTGCAAGGCCGGTAGATCAGTGAACGATCGGGAAAATTCAGTGGTGAGTTCAGCGCCCCCAAAGGGGGATCACACTGCACGCCCAAGTGGGAAGACGCAGCTGGACACACTTAGGTTCATAGCTCCAGTGAAGGAACATAATTTTCAGAGAGTGACTCGCCGAATGATTACTTAGCACTTGACTCGGAATGAAATAAATTCCGGAAAAACACTAGGTACATGAACCACCATGAAACAAACCAAGGGACCACAGCAACCAATCAACAGTTAAAACATGTTAAAACAACAGCGGCTACGTTTACACCTCCCTGGTGCGCGGTCTTCAGTGGCCAGGACGCGCGCCAGGGAGTCCTGGCCCCCTGCTGTGCAAATTCTGGTGAGAATTCCTAGAAACGGAGGTGGACACACTCTGACATGGGTATTCAGTTAATTCAGTTCCCAAGTCAAAAAGGAATGAGGGAAACGCAAGGTGGCAGGGTCAGCGCAACTGAATTGTTGAACAAATTGTTCACTCATCTGCAGAACGCGGCTGAACGACGGCGGCTGAAAGCAGCTGAGGGAAATGTTTTGGGGTCTATCGTGGAAACCACCATGAATCAAATCGAGAGTGGAAAAGCTTGGTCAACAGTTGAAGGTGCAGGTACACCCGGATGATCAGTCCCTGCTTCCCCTTCTTGTCCACAGCTTCATTGCGTGTGGTAGGACAAGAAGGCCACACGCCCCTGCTTTGGAAAATGGTGGTGACGGTAACGGTGGCAGTGAACCCTTTGGCACAGGGGGTGCCCCCCCCCCGTTGCCGCTTCGCGGCGCGCATGTGAAAAGCCTAAATAGTCACCTAAAAAGCCTTAGAAACAAAAGAAAAGAAGGACAGAAAGAGCAGCGCTAAGAGGGCAAGAAAGAAAGGTAGGTGTAGGAAAAATGAATACTTAGCCCTTGACTGGGGTAGGGAAACGAGCCTCAAGAACAACCTAAAAAGCCTGAGAGAAAGCCCAAGAAACGACCGAAAGCGTAAGAAGGAAAGCGGGGGGCAGGGAAGTGTAAGTACATGTGTGTGTCCGTGTGTGCGTATGAATACTTAGCCCTCTAGAGTTACTGATTACTTAGCAGAAATCAATTACGTGCAATAGCTAGGGAGCGGGACTTTAGTCTTAGACCGCCCGGGTAGGAAAGACTAGAAAAGGAACAACACAGAAAAAGGCACCGACACACAAGTGTGTCGAGTACCATTTCCCTATGTTGCCCTAATTAGGTAGGGAGTAGAACTCAGCTGGGGGGGGGGTTGGGAACCTGCCTCATTGGGGGTGGAGTACCGTTTTATAGCCCGGCGGCTGTCTAAGTAATCCCGTGTTTAGGCCCGGCGGCTGTTGAGGCAGTTAATTCGGTGGAAGTGGAGGTGAACTCCAGTGAAATTCCGGTGAGCGGTGGTGAGTTCCGTTAATGATTTCCCAATGAAACAGCGCCCCAGTGACGGGGATCACACTCAGCACCCGAGTGGGACGGCTGAGCGAAACACACTCTGACATTGGTATTCAGTTAACTCAGTTCCCAAGTCAAAAAGGAATGAGGGAAACGCAAGGTGGCAGGGTCAGCGCAACTGAATTGTTGAACAAATTGTTCACTCATCTGCAGAACGCGGCTGAACGACGGCGGCTGAAAGCAGCTGAGGGAAATGTTTTGGGGTCTATCGTGGAAACCACCATGAATCAAATCGAGAGTGAAAAAGCTTGGTCAACAGTTGAAGGTGCAGGTACACAGGGATGATCAGTCCCTGCTTCCCCTTCTTGTCCACAGCTTCATTGCGTGTGGTAGGACAAGAAGGCCACACGCCCCTGCTTTGGAAAATGGTGGTGACGGTAACGGTG